TGATACAGCAGCAGGGCGAGCAGCCAGGAAAGACCACACAGGCAGTGGAGGCGTCTCAGGCAGCAGGACAGGCAGAATATATTGATATTCTTGCGTCTCCAGGCAGCACACCCCAGGAGGGGTGGGGGAGATAAAAAGTGCATCAGCCAACATAGGGGAAACTAGAGGCAGTGCAAACAGTTAGGTGACTATAGTGAGAAGCAGCTTTTGTAGGGTTACCAACTGTCCCAAATTGTCCGGGACATCCCGAAATATGGGTGATTTTGATGCACTGAAGGGACGAATCAAAATCACCCATATTTCATGATGTCCCGGACAATTCGGGACGGTTGGCAGCCCTACGCTTGTTTAACTGACACATAGCCATATAGCCTGCTTCTGGCAAGGTGAAGAACATCCTCTGCCCTTCCGTTCCAAGACAATGTAGCAGTTCAGCCTCCTGTCATGCATCTGGCCATGCTGTAGCATTTATGGCTAACATAGTTTTCAAACATTTTAAGCTACATCTCGAAACTGCATCACAAATTGGCCTGGGCAAAGCGGAAATAAAGGAGCGAACACTACTCTGGCCATCCTCTTCACCAATTTCTGTGCTGCAGCTGGAGTCAGAGGCCACCAATACATCAAACAAGCGCTTTATTCACCACCTAGCACGTGGCTACGGCTACACACAAAGCCACATTCTCCACCATACTGCCATCTCCTGACTAAACAGGGCAACTGCAACTGGGATGTAGAACAGAACAGGGTGGCGGGGTGTTAAAAAGCTGAGGAAGTCCCTTTTAAGTCCATCTCTCCCAGGAGCACCTCAGTATTCATCCCCGGAACTAACCTCCTCCGCCAACCACTGACTCTTTCTGTCTTACTATCTACCCCTGACTTCTTCCATTTAGGTGGTTTAGTTGGGGCTACGTTCAGTTTTTATATTTTACATCCACATTTTACATACATTTTAATCATGTGAATATCAGTGTCAATGACGCTGTCAGTCCGCGAGGCTCTTTGAGACACTGCTCCCCAATTCACTGTATATCTGATAATTTACTTAAAAGCAGATAAACATAATCAAAATATGATGTGAAGTCTCTGTTAGAAAATGCTGTTTTTTTATAGGAGTAATGTTCTTAAATAGTGTTACATAGACAAAAAAGACATTGAAATGACCAAACCAGTATTCCCGCTAAATCTTCACCTTGGCAGGATCCATGTAAAATTTATTGAACTGGTTAAATGAGCTGAATATTCCGAAGATTTCCATACTTTTACACAAAGGAATGTCATAGTAATCACTAATCTGTAGTATCTATGCATCACACTGTTTCCTGTGAGAGCAATTTGACTAATTTGTCCAAGTAATAATTTTGCAAATATGAGAAGGGCTTCTGTTAAAATTTTTGGTACCGCATTACAATAAGGTTAAATTGTAGTAACTCGTTAATAAAAAGAGAACTGTGTTATAACTTGTTTACAACTGTCTTAATGATTTAAGCGTTATAACCTAATTATAACGCATTCATAAACCCCTTACAAGGGTAGTCTTATTGTAAAGATGTACAGAGTTCTCAATTTCCTTTGAATTAAATCAAAATATACATAATGACCTTTGCTTAAATTTTGAATTGCTTTCAGATATATTGCCTTTAATTTTGTTATAATTTCCATGTTGTAGGGCTTACTCATTCAAGTTACAACAGGCTGAAAGATGGAATTCTTTTTCACTTTTTAGAACACAATTTTACACTTTGGATTAGATTGCTGACCTTAAACTCCCCCTCTGTCCCATTTCATTTCAGAAATATAACTAACTCTGGACGATCAGGTGTTTTCCCTCTTCATTGACTTTTTAGACATTTTCCGAAGTGACATTTACAGTGGTGTCACCACTGTGTGGCAGTGTTGGCAAACAAAACCCCAGTAAAATGTGGCATTTCGTTCATCCTGTATGTATAGCAGACATTTTACTCAAAGCTACATATGACTGAAAGCAGAGTAAACAGTTCCTGTAGCAATTAGGGTTAAAGGCCCAAAGGTAAAATCACTCTGCCAACCTTCTAATCATGGGCACAGGGTCCGAACCCGCAGATCTGCAGAACTGGGGGCAGCCAGTTGACTTTTGACCCCCAGAGGTTTTTTTTCTCCTTATTTGGGAGTTTTTTGTCCCTCCTCTCCGTTGTCATCTACCTTTCTTTATTTAATTTCTTTCCCTCTTTTTCCCATTCTGTATTACTCTCTAATGATGCTCTGGGACAACTCTGTTGTGAAACGCGCTATATAAAAATAAACTGAATTGAATTGAATTGAATTGAACTGTGGAGAAAGGAAGACTTTCACAGGCCCAGACATTAGAGGGGGTTCATGAGTGATATGAAGGTCTGAGCGCGGATAATGGTAGCTTTGGTTCAGGGTGGGGGAGCACTTGGTAGAAGTTTTTTCAGGGGCCAAACCATGTGTTTATGTGGCCCTGCATGTACAGCAAGCACACAGGAGCAGTACTTACTGGCAAGGGAATTGCACGAAAATCATTCTGCAACAGTTATGTTTTAGCTACTGTTTTTTTTCTTTCAAGGGCATCTTGTGCTACCCTACACTTCCTCATTCTGTGGTTGCACATTTATTAAGCTTTGCGGTCAGTCGCTGAGATCAGAATAAGGCTGAAAGTCAGACATCTGAAGGAAAGAGCTGCAGACTTTTCTTCTGCAACAAACATGAATTGTAGCAGCAGTCCTGCAAAGTCTCGTACTTTTTATTTATTAACTTATTTATTTATATTTAATTCAATTTTATACTGGAAGTAAAATGTATAATTAGCCAAAGTAGGGGAGACTAGAGGCAGTGCAAACAGTTTGGTGACTGCAGTATGTAAGCTCCGGCCAATAAGGCTATGGCAGCATAAGTAGGAGGGAAAGGCAGGTGGGAACGCAGGCATGGGGGGTCCCTGAAATGTCAGCACTCCAATTCCACAAGGGGGTGTGAACCTAGAGTGACAGACTGACAGTTCAGCTCATCCAAAGCCAATGATATCCAACTGATCCCCACCCAGCTCTACACCTCACACTGTAGGTCTAACTGGGAGTGAGGAGTTAGCTAGAGCCAGAACTGGAGTCCCTATAAGCTAAACTAAACAGGTGTGTTTTTAGTCTAGACGTGAATATGGAGAGTGAGCCTGAATCCCGCACATCCGCTGGAAGACTATTCCACAGCTGAGGAGCTCTATAAGAGAAAGATCTGCAGCCTGCCGTAGTTCTTTCTACACAAGGTACTAATATATATCCTGCTCCTTGGGATGGAAGCAAATGAGGAGGGTTGTATGAGGCCAGTAGATCTCTAAGGTATTCGGCTGCAAGGCCATTCAGTGCTTTATAAGTTAATAGCAGTATTTTGTAGTCAATCCGAGACTTAACTGGAAGCCAGTGAAGGGAGCATAGAACAGGAATAATATTATCAAAAGTTTTAGTGTGTGTAAGAACTCTGGCTGCTGCATTTTGTACCAGCTGAAGTTTATGTAAGGATCCAGAAGGGTGACCAGAAAGGAGGGTGTTACAGTGGTCAATGCACGTTATAAATGCATGTATTAATTTTTCTGCATCATAAAAGGAGAACATCTTCCGAAGCTTGGCTATGTTACATGGATATTAGAACTAACCTTCCATGGGTATGAAGGCTCCCCAACTACAGAATAGGCAAAAAATAACTTAAACACAGAAAAGCAAGACTGAAGAAAAGCCTTCCGGATCCTGACTGCTCTACCCAAGCTAACGGCAAACGAATAACTTAAAGACATATGGAATTAAAACTCTTTCTTTAACGCCTTATTAGGCTGGTCAGACAGAGAACAATAATTAGCCTTGATTAATGCTGCCACACACTGTAACCACAGCCCCTGTCCGGCAGAAAAGCGCAAAATACAAATATACAAAAGCAATAATGTGATAATGACCTTGCCGTCATAACAATGTTATAATAAATACATACAAGAAAAAACACGGCCCGTATGATTTCAGTTATGAAAAGCAGGAAGAAATTTTGTGTGTGACGGTTCTGTAAAGTCACACGTACGTAACGGAAATATTCTACTTCTCTTTTCAGCCTCACCAAATCAATTCAGTTTTTCATTTGCTTTCACTTGTTCAACTCGGTCGTTGTTACGGTCCATCTATTTAAATGTCGGACACGGTTTACTCTGTCATAAATCTTAAGAACTTAAATCCCAAGGATCGTGGTAAGTATTCTTAGTCTGAGAATTACAAGAATTTCTAATATAAATATCCAAAGACAAACTTAATAAAAACGAGAGACGCGAATATGACACCAAATGGCATTTGTGCTGCAGGAAACGGAGGCTGCAGGGCTGGTAGATAATCTTATCGCTTTTTTAGTTTTCTCGTTTATATTTCATTCGTATTGTCTAAATGTTCAGTCCACAAGTACATTTCTTAAAACTGCCTTAATTTTACCCCTTTTGGAGAATAAGATTTCTTTATTTCAGGTTCTAACAACTTTCATGCTTTTTGTGCAATTTTTACTTTTATATGCAAATTTACCACGAAAAACGAGAAAATGAGTAATTATTATTGAGATTGATTTCAGAATTCGGTATTTTACTTGAGTGAATAATTTTGTTGTAGTTCTATTTCATGAACTGATCAAATATAAAATTCAGTATTTTTCCTGATGTACATGAATTTTAATCCTAATTAAACCCAAACTGAAACTGATTATGGTAATTTGGACATATATCCACGTTGTTATTATTATTATTATTGTTATTATTATTTTTGTTGTTGTTGTTGTTATCCAATGGTATATGTCAAATTGGATAGATTAGCCTATTGTTATGTTGAGTATTCCAAACTTTCGTGTTACTATACAGATGTATATTTACGGCAGTGTTAAAGTGGGAAATCAGGTGCCAGTTCTGAGCCCCCCAGCCACGGATTGCTTCCCCTGAGGCCGCAGAAATGACCGCTCATTGTAACTTCATCTTTCTTGCCTTATGCAGACTAAAAAAACTCACCCGCTTAAAAAATTACTCGCTTGCTGTTATTTGATGCTATTCTTTTCGACAACGTTTGTTAGTGCAAACAGGGACGGATTACGGACCGGGCCAGCAGGGCCGCTGCCCAGGGGCCCTTGGGGTGCAGGGGGCCC